ACACAGATTGCTTATTAGTTTCCTAAAATATATGGATCCTGGAACTACAAATTATATTTTTGATTGGCTAATGGAATATATATTCATATATATCTACATATTGAAATTTTGATAGTGATTAAATTATTGCAGCATTTAATCTAATAAAGCAAACTTAAGGAGAACTGCCTTCTTGCTATAGAGCATGCTGACATAATTCTTTTAAACTATCATTTCAAAATTTAGAATAAGTGAGCTTTGTAATAATTAATTGCTTTTAGTTTGAGACACTATGAACAGCATTTGTGAAATTATTCTTAGGAATGGGTTTTTGTCTTATCATTTAGGATCTTTCAGGCTTCAAGAAAGAAGTAATCAAGAGAGTTCATTAATAGAACAGTAAGAGGATATTATGTGTGTATATATGTTTATGTATGTACATATGAGAAGTCCCTGGCTGTGTAGATCTAATCAATATTGTCAGTATCTTCTCACCTTTTAACTATTTCACTTCATGGCCCTATGATACCAGCATCATCTACAGGCCTCACATGCTCATGAAAACATCCAGAGGTATGCATTTTGATTTTAAAAATAATTTTAGAGAATCTCCCAGACAACTTGTTCCTCTAAGATTTGCCTGCAAAATGTTCACATTCGCAGAAGTGTCTGATCATGCCATTAAGCCACCAAGGCAACATAGAATTTTCATGATTCAACTGCACATTAGTCCTAGAGACACACAGACAATAAGTAAGAAATAAAATCAGGACTCAGTTAAGAATGAGGCAGAGGCGTGTCCCTTGAACTGGCAACTAGTATTTTTTGCAACATTTTTATCCCCTAAACATTAATTCAGTGAGTTGCAAATGTAATACATAAGTGTTATATCAAGTGTAATATTTTATGAACTGTGCATCATGCATGTAAAAGAATTTCAGTCATTTCATGGGAGTGACAGCAGTGTGCTAGAGCTATCTTTGAAAGCCACTACTTTGGTAAAGTTTACTTTGGTAGAGTCTGTTATTGGGCAGAGTTTCCAAAGCATGGCATGGCTGTAAGGATTAAATGCACGTTTATATCTAAAGTCATGCTGCAGCCTTCAAAAGGTGAGATGATTTTCTGCAAGAAAATAATGTAACCTCTAGACACAGGGATGTGTGTGGTGTTCCTGTGTAGAGAACAGTAGAAGATGGCTTCAGGAAAGCAGTGGTTTTTTTTAGATGGTCCTAGCAGGCTGCCATGACACAGTGATGAGCCTATAGCCACACACATGCTGCTAGCACTGACTGGACTCAGTTGGTTTAATAAAGAATATATGAAATTGTGAAAGGAAAGTGGGGGGTTAGTGGGGTAGGAGGGATTGGAGGGAAGGGACTGAAGTAGGTTGAATGAAGCACATTATATTCATGTATAAAGTTCTCTAACTTTTTTCAAGTATATTTTAGTCTGAATTAATATTTTTAATAAGATGTTAGTTTGTCCACTTTCCTTTTTTTCTCACATAACATGATCAATCTTTTATTAAATGGATGTTATCATTAAAAGTAGTGGTCAAATAAATTTACCAATAAAATGTTTTGTTGAGAGAAGACAAAATGAAGAGCCATAAAAATATTCATTGTTTTAGTTAAGCAAAGTCATAAAAATTTCCCACAACTATGCCAGTGGCAAGGATAAGGATTGATCTTTGTATATAACAGAAAATAGAAAAACAGATAGGTCAGAAAATGAGCACTTAGATGTTTGAGTTCATTTCAAGGTAGTATTTGGAGCCTCATCTTTGGGAAAGGTAAGAGCTGTTTCTTCAGACACTTGAGTGGGAGAAAAGCCATGTGTTTGTATGTGTACGTCAATATACCTGTTAGAGTACAGGAGACAGAAAGGGGCCTACACAAAGAGAAGAGTAAATGCAAATGATGGCTTCAAAGCATCTTGCCCTCCATTACCCCATCCCCCACTATGTATCAGGAACACATACCATGTTAATCTTTTTTATTGTATAGTTATTATTGTTTAATGAATACATTGATGAACATATGAGTATGAAATGGAAGAGATAAGCACAGAAAAATATTGTCTTCTACAATAGATGAAAGTGAAGACAATCTCTTTCCTCGGAATTTACAGTTGCGTAAAACCCTCATTAAAACGTCCTTCATCTTAGCTTGTGGCTTGAAATGCTCCCTGGATGTAATTCAATACACTCCAGGTGACTTCAGCTAACACAAATGAGCATAATCCTAGTAAGGCAAATGGGGACTGTGGTAACTGAAGGTGATTCCCTGGTGCAGTGTTTTAATCCCCATCCATTGTAGAGTAAATGCATTGGCTATTGCAGAGTTGTATTCCCTCATGTTTACCCGTAAGTGGAAGGCTCCATGGAGAGATGAAGAAGGCAAGTTTTCAATCTTTTCAATCCCAATAACAAGGCAAACTAAATGTAAGGCAAACAAGTGAAGAAGAGGATTCTGTTCTCTGTCTAAATAAAAATAATAATACTTCCCTAATTCAAATATTGCTTTGAAAAGTATATCAAACAAAAAAGCTATTGTTGAATTTAAAAAACACTACCATAGTGAACGGAGATACATTTCTATAATTGCAAATAACTTCTTAAAGTCCTGCAGTTTCTTTTTCACTTATTTCATTTGACAGGAAGGATACCACAAATTCAAATTTGAAATATAGCAAATAAAAAATAAATAATATTATTTCATCATTTCTTCTGTTAGCGTTTATGGTGTGTATAAAGTCTTATATTGTTCCAATGGATGCTCAGCTCCAATTCATGGCTTTAAATTTGATCAAGAATATTTTTGAAACATTTATTGTTTCGCACTTCAATTTTTCTCATAGAATTTATCATGAACTCTTATTTATATAGAGGAAAAAACAGGAGCAGGAGATTTGAGTTTGTGTTTAGAAAACATAAAAACATATAAAATAGACTTGTTCTTATACATGTAGATCATATTTGAACTTTGCTATGGGAAGGATGGTTGCAGACAGAGTTGCTGACACAATTTTCTGCTTCAGTGATTCACTCAAAAGATTCACAAGACTCAGGTAACATGTCAGGCTAATTCTCTGTTGTGGCTTTGATATATTACACACACACACACACACACACACACAGAGAGAGAGAGAGAGAGAGAGAGAGAGAGAGAGAGAGAGTAAAGAGATAGGTGAAGTAACAAGAATATCAAGTCCAAACTCAACAGACTCCCCTTTCCATGGACTCACACTAAGTGTCTTAGTTTTCCAAGAAACCATGTGATGATGGTCACAGCCAGTTGTCTACCAGGGAACTAATTATAGTGTGCTTTGCTTATTGTTTTGTTCTTTATGTTAGTGTTGGCATGCTTTAAACTCTTTTGTTTCCTTTTATTGGCGTTTCTTATGCTTCTTCCTCCCTTCTCCAAACCAAACCCTTCCAACGCTGCAACACCAGGTAGGAAAGAAAAGAGAAGAGAAAGGGGGTAGTTTTCTTCAGCTACTTCCTGCTGTTTGGGGTACTTGGGTTCCTTGGGGCAAGTACAGTCCTCATTTCAGGGTATCTTCAACTTCTTTGTGTCCCAGCACCTCTACAGCAACCAGGAGCAGCAGGTGGGGGAACACCAGCAGCCTTCTTCCCTGGAGACTGCTTTTCATTCTCTGGGCTCCGAACTTTAGTCCTTCTCCAGAGCCCTCAGATTTAAAAGATCTGGAGGTGGCAAAGAGCCTTTCAGAGCCTGCAGGAGGCAAATAGTTTGCTGCTGTGGATAATTTGAATCAATCCCATATCCTATACCCGAGATTAAAACAAAAACATGTTTACATATCATAAACCCAAACACTCACAACATGTGTCAGTAAAAATTAAAAGAAAAAAATATTAAAGGGAAAAGATTGTAAAAAAGGAAAGAAGAAAGAAAGAAAAAGTTATGGTAGCTTTCCTACCACCAGCAGCGTCAATATCCGTGGCCCGTGATGCTGCCTTCCCACAGCCGCACCGTGAGCTCTGAGCTCAGCTGCAGCTCCAGCAGCGCCTGAGAGATGCCGGACTCCTCCGGCTTCTCGCCATTGGGCTTGACTCTCTTGGTGCTCAAGCTGCCCTTACGGAGTGACGGCTCAGAAAGAGCGTTTTCGAGTGTTTTATACTGGCGTGTACACCCACACAAATGCAATGCGAAAGTAAATGTGACGTAAGCTGCGAAAGCTGTTCCTGAAGCGTCTTTCCTCTGAGCCTCTGGCCCCGAGCTCAGTGATGCCCTTGCCAGGGGGTGGGATCGTCTCATCCTGCTGGCAGCTTCATCCACACAGCCACCCTCATTCTATAGCTTTGACGCTGTTGCTTTCAGGGTGTTATGGCAATGGCTCACACATGAACTTTTGGGTGAAATGAGGATTCATTTTCATATTATTCAAAGTCTGAATTCATGGTCATGCTAATTGTGGGGCTGAATACAAAATGCAAGTGCAGGTAGCATGACAGCTGTGATAGCAGTGTTGCGATTGCGGATGAACAGCAGCAGTCCGCATCTTAGGTGAGGGAAGCGTGGACTGGAAAGATAGCTCAGAGTTCGTTCCAGCCCAGGGAACCTAACATCCTGTCAGGACCTCTGAGGGTAGCACAACCCACGCCTGTGTGTATTGACACATGCTCAACAGGCGCACACACACACTTTACTTATAATAAATTAAAAAGTTACTTTATTTTATGAAATAAATATTTTTGACGTAAATAAAATATCTCATCAGTTGGAAGTGGCAACGCCTCTCTGTAGTCCCAGATAAACAGGCTGTTGCGATGGGATCTCCCTGACCAAGGAATTTGAGACTTCTATCTCAAAAGAAGCAACACAAAACAAAAGCAGATCCATCCAAGTGACATACTGGAAAGCCCCAGACGTATTACATGGCAACTTGCCTTCCTTGATCACTAGCCTGCACCTTCTCAGCATGCACAACAGAGAATATTCAGGGTAAATCTTCGACTCCTCAACTAATGTATTTTTTTACTCATTTGCCTTTGTCAGGTCCCATCAGTAGTGTCTTGGTGAATAAGTACGGCAGCCGGCCAGTGGTGATAATTGGAGGGTTGTTATGCTGTACCGGAATGATCTTGGCTTCCTTCAGCAGCAGCATGATAGAACTTTACCTCACGATTGGCTTCATTAGTGGTAAGCCAGGTTCTCCTGTCATCTAAACTGTATGAAAAAGATGAACAAGAAGCAATTTTTAACGTTCTGTTTGAGTTTGTTTGTTTTTTAAAACAAGTCTGTTCTGGGATGTTTTTATCTGATTCAGTAGGACTAAACATTTCACTTTAAGAAATGATTTTCAAAAGATGTCATACAGTTATTTGTGTATCATCCTATAGATATGGAAACAGAAGCAGCTTTGTTTTGACCTGGTCACCGTTTACTCTGGAGTGAGCTCTGGAAGTGGTATAAATGGCTTCTGGTGTAACAAGTTTATAAAACATATTTTATTCCTGTTTCAAGTATCTGACCTGCCACTAATAATAAGTTAAAATGGCGTCAAATAGATATTTTAGGATAACACTGCTTAAACATCAGCAATAAAATTCTTGCCTTAAGGAGTGACAGAAAGACTCTTCAGCCTTAGCCTGCCTGTCTGTCCCCTGAAATGACCTGCTTGCAAGCTTGCACACAAACTGTGAAGATGACATTAATGTGCCTCATGAGTCCCTTTCACTTAAGTCAACCTAAACTGCATGCTTGAAGAGTGCAATATTTATTTTCCTTATCAAGAAATTTTATTTTACAAATCTATATTTCATATTTTAAGAAAAATTAAACATCTGGATACTTAAGGATAAATCAACATTTCTCCTTTTTGAGTTGAGATCAGTCTAAATGTATATGTTAAATCATTTGATGAAGACAAAAACATAAGCTTTGGCGGCTAATGTATAGCAGACGTTGTGGGACATGCTTGTACAAACCAGCACTGGGGAAACCAAGGCCAGAGATTTCGGAGTCCAATGTTAGCTTGGGCTGCACAGTGAGTTTTAGACCCCCCTGGGCTACAAACTGAGAAGAACACAAACAGGGAGGTACAAAAATAGTGATGATAAACCCTAGTGTTTGTAACCACTCCGGATTTTTTATATGGCAAAATATTTTGATATTTAAAATATCAAATCTAAGCATTGTGTGGAGAGACTGTCCATATGCCTGACACCCTGACTATCTTGTATCTCTCCAGAAATAAGATGCCATAGTTTTGATGTGTATGAGCTGTCAGCAACATCACTGCTATTCCAACACAACTTCATGTGCCTTGGTGTTTCTGGAATGGACCACTGTGTGGTGTTCTTAGAATGAACTTGTGTGTGCCCCTTTACGTGGCATACCATCTGAAAGTGAAAACTCCTCATCTTTTTCAGGGAGAAAGTGAATACAAATAAACGAAACCCAATACCTAGGTGTTAATTCAGCTTCCTCTTCTTACAAGCTACCTGCCTATAAATTGATGAGAGTCAGCTAATTACACCCACTCTGCATATCGTAATGATATTCTTGAGGGAAGGTTGGAAAATTTACATCATGTTTTCCTAAAGTATGGTTTTAGCTGCTTCCACAGCTTTTAGAGGAAATTTATTTTGGAAAATGTCATCAAGGGTTGGAGAATTTGTACTTAGTGTTGTGACCCAAGAAGTTGAGTAGTTAACCACTTAGAAATTTGGGTTCAGTATACCCAAATGAGCAGACAAAAAGAATTCTTACCTTAATACTCACTTAATACTCATTTATAAATCAATTCATATGCTTTCAAAGGATTATTCATCTAGACTGCTGAATAGTTCATGTCTGGGTGATCTGCAAGAAGTAAGCTGTCTCTCAAATATGGAACCAACGCAGCCTAGGATTTCATTGTGGGAACTTGGTCGCAAAGAAACAGCTAAAACTTCAAACGATAAAATGTATTCCAGACTCATAAAAGAAAATAATTTTTAGTTAGCCCCTGTGTAGATCTCTAGACACTAAATGTAGAATGTGATGGATGTGCATTGAAAGAATGAAATAAACTTACTTCTCAATTTTATTATTGCATGGTATTGAAAGAAATATCTGTGAGAGGTATACGATTGTTAAAAATTGTGACTTTTCATTGGTTCATGATTCATTTTACTGTCAGAGCAGAGTATCCTCAATTTTAAATCTCAGCAAAAACAAATCTAGCCTGTTTATTTGCATGTAAGTATATATGAGAAAGAAAGGATTAATTTATTTGTGAGATTATATGATTCTGATTAAGAAGTCATAATTTTGTCCTCATTATAGTCTATTCATTGATGTGTTTTCATACCTCAGTAGTTCCTTATTTTAATGCTGCAAAACAGAGGACTCCAAAACATTCTTACTCTGTTTAGTTATGGAAACCAATTTATATTTTTGTATAATTAGAATTCTAGTTATAGTTTTCAAGGATTTAAACTTACTGCTGCATGTCTGATTGTCTTATCCTTTATCATGGACATTTTGAGGAATTTCCTTAGTGACATAATATCCTTGTGTTTTCTTTCTCCCTGTGTTTTGTTTTTTATTTTGTTTTTGCGTTTTAGGTTTAGGATTAGCATTCAACCTGCAACCAGCCTTAACAATACTCGGGAAATACTTCTATAGGAGACGACCCTTGGCAAGTGGCCTTGCCATGACTGGAAGTCCTGTTTTCTTAAGCTCATTGGCTCCCTTCAATCAGTACCTATTTAACAGTTATGGCTTGAAGGGAAGCTTCTTAATTTTGGGTGGCATATTTTTGCACTCCTGTGTGGCTGGGTCCCTCATGAGACCGGTTGGGACCAGTCAACAAACTATGAAGTCTAAAAGTAAGGTTAGTTCGAGACATGATTCCAGTATGAAGAAACCCCCTAAGTTATCATTAGCACAAAGGATTAATATGTTTTTGGATTTCAGCCTTTTTAAACATAGAGGGTTTTTGATCTACCTATCTGGAAATGTCATTATGTTTCTAGGATTTTTTGCCCCTGTTATATTCTTGTCTCCATATGCTAAAAACAGAGGAGTGGATGACTATAAAGCAGCTTATTTGCTGTCTGTGATGGCTTTTGTTGATATGTTCTCTCGGCCTTGTGGAGGATTAATAGCCAACACCAAGTTAGTCCGTCCAAGAATCCAGTACTTCTTCAGCTTAGCCATCGTGTTCACTGGCGTATGCCATCTCCTGTGCCCACTGGCAGAGAGCTACACAGCTTTGGTAGTCTACGCTATATTTTTTGGCTATGGATTTGGAAGTGTTAGCAGTATCCTCTTTGAAACTCTCATGGACCTTGTTGGACCTGCCAGGTTTTCCAGTGCTGTGGGACTTGTCACGATAGTGGAGTGCTGCCCAGTTCTTCTCGGCCCTCCTCTTGCTGGTAAGAATATTTCTCATCAAGGACAGCAGAGAGAATAGTTTAAGTATTATTTGTTGGGATTAAGTGCTTTATTAACTTATTAAATGATTAATGAAAATGACTGTAGTTGCCTAAAAGACTGGGGAGATTTTACACTTGAAAATTTCATAATTGGTTGATTTAAACCAAAATTTAAGACCCTGGGCTTACAAGGTTATAATCATAAGTTAGATTGATGATTTGTACCATACTTCAGGATTTTCTTGTATATCAGTTCTTTTAAGATTTTTGACTACATCACATGACTAAAATGTGGTTATTATTGCTGAACAGATACAAAATACAATATCCTGAAAGGATTAGAATTTGAATGTTTATGATACTACATTACGTATGTTGATTTTGAGATTTTGCCTAAAGTAGATATGCTTTAACATCAATCCAGAGATGAAGGGACATACAGTCACATTTAGTTTTTTGAGTAAATAATATCTGCTACATATTCATAAACAACAAAAATGAGTTGTAGACATTCAAGATCTGATATGGTTTCAAAGATAGCTATAGAAATATTCTAAAATTCCTACTGAGGAAATCAAGTCCCTGTAGGCATCATTACATCAAGATGTTGAGAAAACGGCCTGACTTTTTTTTTCATTAAAAAAAAAAATAAGATGAGAGGGTGGCAAGGAGAGAGGAGAGAAGAGAAAAATCAGGACAAAAAGAAAGAAGATGGGAAAAAAGGAAGGAGAGAAATGGATAAAAGAGTCATTATAGATCCATTGGATTTTGTTGGTTTTCCTAAGGATTGTTTTTGGCTTCCTTTTGAAATACATTGAGAGTGCTCTTGGAAGAAAACTATGGTAATCAGCTCTGCTGTTTAAATTTACAATATAAACGCAAATGGCGAGTGCATTGCATGCATGATTTATGTGTAAATCTTCTTTAGTGTTCCATTTTAAATGTTTTGATGATGGTAAGGATGGTGCCGATGGTTATCCCTGGTGGCATCTCCTCGAGCAGTCCCTGAGTTGTCCAGTGAATACTGAGCTCATTTACATAGGTTCTTGGTCTGGCCGCTGGTGCTCAGAGCCCTGCTAATATCAATGTTCCACCATGCGCATGTGATGCTCACTCAAATAAGCTCACTGAACTCTGTTGCTGCATTGTAATTGTTCCTAATTGAACCAGAGAAATTTCCTCAAATGGGTATGTTTCAAAAAGCTCAACTTAGTACTAACTATAATATTGTCAACATGTTGGGTATAAGTGATAAGTAACAAAAAACTTACACCAAAGTTTGTCCTTAGGAGTTATTAAGTATTTAATGCTTGCATGAGAAAAAGGAAAAACTAAATGTGAGTGGAAAAATATTTTAGAATCAGCTAACCTTAAGCTTTAGTGGCATCAAGCCAGTTTTAATCAAGTGGAACAAACATATTCTTCCAGTCTAGCTTACAGATTCAGTAAAGCCAAGTAGGTATTTGACCTCCAAAGTGGCACAGCACCTATGAAAGAGGATGGATGAAACCTTTCTGCAATCTGCTTAAAAGTATGAGCTCTGATGGGCCTCACTTGAAAGTTCATAGTCAGGGAGTGGCGAAAGGGCTCAACAGTACTTCTTCAGAGCACCCATATTAGGGAGCTCACAGTGGCTTGTAACAGCAAATCTAAGGGATGTCTCACCCTTTTCTGACCTCAAAGGACACACGCAAATACATGTGCAGAAGCGTGCACTCACTCTCGCACACATGCCAAAATAGATCTTTTAAAAAATAGAAAACAACCACGCCTTATTTTGGTAGCCATAACAATGAAAAGTTAAAAATAAGAGTCCATTGTCCATAGGGCACTGTCTATGACATCATAGTTGGATCATTTCATAGTCATGAAGAAGAAGAATATCACAGATAAGTGCACTGAAGCCATTAGTAGCCACACAAAAACCCAATGTGTCTTTCCAAAAGAATGTCAATTTTAGTTTATTAGTGTAAAGAAACATGGGAAAATGATGTAATCTCAAAGTTTCTGATATAAATTAATAAGTATGTATGAAGCCACATGCCTGTTTACAAAAATAATTCATTATTCCTATGTATTAATATATGAACAGATATATGCCTAAGTTTTCTTGATTACATATTTTATTGGCTGAAATAATTTTCAATAAATGTGATAAGCTGGTAAAAGTAATGTGTAGAGATCTGTTTTTACCACTACTGAAAATATATAGGAACATCATCTAGAATAGTTTCTGTATTAAAATATTATTTGATACTAATTTAAATAAGAGGAATGCAGTTTGGCTGAGACAGTTTCTTTCCAGATGTTATGTTAACATTTTATCATGGCTTCTTAAAGGATGTTCTCTATCTTGTAGGTAAATTGGTCGATGAAACTGGAGAACATAAATACTTGTTCCTAGCCAGTGGGGCAATCGTGGTACTAGCAGGCATTTGGCTATTCATTGGCAATGCTATAAACTATAGACTTCTTGCCAAGGAAAGGAAGAGAGAGAAAGCAAGAAAGAAGAAATCACCTAGCCGTCATTCCAAAGAGCTGGAGTCTTTGAGCAAGTCCAACCAGGACGATGTTGCTGTCAGAGTCCCCCAGGCACACAGATCTCCATCAGAGAAAGAAAGAGAAAGTAACATTTAACTGATTCTCACTCCACATCAGTGTTTAGGAATTTACTTATGAGTTTCTTGTGTTTTTCAAACTGTCAAAGGTTTTAGCTCAAACAAATGATCACAAATAATAATAATAATGAAACTGATACCTTCCTCAATGACATATTATAAATTAGTTTTAACACTTGTTTTGTAGTTAAAATTTGAGATTATGTGTAAAGAAAATCGATGCAGTGGCTTATTTGGAGAGGTGACTTGGGATGTTGTGATGAAAAAGAATTTTAAAATCTTTCAGTGACATTCACTTTTTAGCTGTATAATGAGATCTGCATCCCAAACCCCTGACTTACTTAAGCATAATTCAGCATTAATTCCACATGATGATGCTCTTCAAAGTTCACTTTGATATAAAGTTATGAGGTAAACTGAGGACAGTCAAGTCTCTATTCACACACAAGGAATCACATATCTATCCACACAAACACTGAGTATCTGGAGATCATAAAGAAATAAATGAATTTGAAAAAAAGTATTATAGTCATTTTTAAGTAAAAGAAAAAAACTCTTCCAGGAAGACAATGGGAATGTCTTTGTGTGCAATTTGTGTGCAATTTTATAGTTTGAATTAAAAATAGCAGTATATGGTGAAAATCAAAGTGTTGTCAATTCAAAAAAGTGAGTGACTATTACTACAAGAAAAAATCTATATAAAATAAGTTTGGCTTAAATAGAATCCTTTGCACCACTATGTCTCTACACCCATGCCAGATTAATCTGGTGCTAGAGAATAGAACCCCCACCACCACCAAGGAATTCTTACCTACTACATAAACTGAATTACAACTTAATGGCACTGAACGATCAGCTGAATCTATTGATTTTAAAAGTATCTTAAGTCATAATGTACAACTTAACAATGACTTCAAACAAACAAACAACAACAGTGACAAAAACTAGGGTTTGATCCCGATTCAATATTGTGCTGTTCTGAACTCTCCAACCAAATAAACTAGAATCCTAGACCAGGTTATTTTAGACCCGACAAGAGTAGGGGGCACTACAAAGCCAATCACAGTCTTCTAACTCTTTGCTACAATAAGTAAAAGCCAGCAACTAACCCAGGCCTTGAATTCAGTCTCTGAACATTCCTCCTGTTGTGGAAAAGAGAGAGGAGGCAGTTTAAAATGCTGCCCTCTACCGATTACATTACCTGCTGCCTGAGAATAAAGCCGGGAAATTGAGGTGTGTTGGGTAGGAGACACTTCAGGAAATACAGACTGTAGGGGCTGGCAGGCATTTAGTTTATAACACAATACTGATGTCGGAGAGTTGCTGCTCAGGTTAACTTTTCCTCATTTTCCTATGTAAAGGTATCTGGCATTCTTAAGGCATATCTGTGATTTCCTAGTGTGTAAGTATTAACTGAAACTAAGTATTCTTATGTCTCATTTAATTTTATGATAAATAGAAAAAATTTTGTGCTTTATTACTGAAGCGATGTCACTCTTACAGTGTCCTTTTCTATTTTTTTTATTGCAGTAGAGATGGGTGCTATTCTTATTTCTTAGAAGACTCTACCTAGATACCACTCTTTCATGACATTAACATTAAAGATTTGATCTGCTCATAACATGTATACACTTCAAACATGTGGTTCATAGATTCATATTTAGGGAGCAAGAGAAGATTTGGGTTTTCTTCATCTAACATTTGCTTTTTTGAATATGAAAATACTTCTAATTTTAAATTATTTTATTAAAATAAAGGTGTGCCGATACTGTACAGAAATGAATCAGGACAATGTGACACCATATGTCTTTTTTAAACTTAATTCCACCCAGTCTTAAATCAGCTTTTTAATATGATTTCTTCTTTCGTATTCACTTTGGTTTGTTAGAAGGAATCATTGTAGTCAGTCATAACTACTTCCGAAACAAATCTCTTGCATTCTTTGAAAATATCTTTTAAGCCATTATACACAGGAGACAGCAGGAGGAGAGGAACACTAAGGCAGGGGGAAGGGTGGGCAGTCAGTGCCCCTGTGCTCTGTCCCTTGGTGATCCTGCAGGGAGATCCCAGGGCTTTTCTTTCTCCTTAGAAAGAGGTTTAGTTTTGTCACTTACTGAGGGCCCAAATTAAAGATATTGCTTTTATTTTGCTGCTTTTCAGTTGCCTTAATGGTTATAGCATTGGTTTGTATTTTTATTTTTTTTTAAGGAGCTATAACCTGATGTGTTAAGCCATGTTGGAAACATGACATTTATAAGTATGTGTATCTATAACAGATGAACAGATGTGTTCAGAGTTAAGCCCTGACTTACTCGCATAGGTAACAAAACCATAATAGAAGTGAATCTACTTATTTGATTTTTTTCCAGTCCATGGCATGTGTTGAAATACTTGTTGCCTTAATGAAATTTCTCAAGGACTGAGGAAAGACTACTTGCCTATCTAATTCCATAAGTACAGGAGGAAATGCAGCTGGCACCCTTGTCTGCAACTTTACTGCATTCTTGTCACCAAGAAACACCCGATTTTAAATGTTGAAGATAAGATACTAAATTGATACCATTAAAATCCCCACTGAGTACAATTAATCATCTCAAAATTATGCAAAAGGAAGTAGAGCACGCATAATTTGTGATCACTAGCTAATTCACATATCTTGCCGTTTGCTTGTTGAATAGCCCATAGTTTTTGCTATGTCACCTTAACTATTTCTTCCTCATCCATAGACATTTCTGCCCTAGATTTCTTTCTTGGTGCTTTTGGAAGAGGTAATGGGCTGGGTAGTAATAAGTATCATACTCACGACCTGATGTTTTCTCAGTATAAATTCATATGGCTTGGGGCTGGAGAGATGGCTCAGAGGTTAAGAGCACTGTCTGCTCTTCCAGAGGTCCTGAGTTCAATTCCCAGCAACCACATGGTGCCTCACAGTCATCTATACTGGGGTCTGCATGCTCTTTGGCATGCAAGTGTACATGCAGACGGGGCACTCATACACATAAAATAAATTTTAAAATCTTTTTAAGAATTCATATGACTCATAGTTCACCATTTTGTTCTGTGTTTCAACCACCTTTACTTAAATGGCTACATGTTCAACCCAGATACTAGAAAAGAAATAAAACAATTCTGCTTCATACGTTCAAAAGTATACTATAAAGACATAACTTGTCTACTCACTCACTTCTACCCCTACAACCTGACAATCAAGATTATAGAAAAGTATAATGTAATTTTGTATAACTGATATAAATACTTGAAATTACATTTTATCCAAAATAGAGGAGCTAAGAGATCTGTGACATACACTTTGCCTCAATATTTAAACCAAAGCCATACCCAAAGCCCTAATGTGATACTGTAGAACGTGACCCACGAAGGCACATGGATGCGCACATGCAAGCTCAGGAAATGTCTCTGATAGTAAAAATAGTACATTGTCAAACCAAATTTTAAACCTAAGCTTATCTAAAAGCAGAAAGAGTCCCTAGGGTGTTCACTCAACTTACAAATACAGATGATCGTACGAAAAGCAAGTAAAAAGATAGATACAAAAGTGCAAATGTTATATTGGAAATTAGACTTAACTTCAATCTCTACTATGATTTATTAAATGTCCATTAATATATGCATTTACTATAAGCAAAATATAGTTGCCTGCTTATCATCAGTTCAGTTTATCTCAAATAATTGGAATTATATAATAGCTGAAAGTGCTTTCATAAAACCTTTTCTCATATAAATGATGACATGTATATATGTCTCAAAAGTAATGTATTTCTCCTGAAGTCAGAATTTAAAAAAATGTTATTTATTATACATATACTATTCCTATACTTACTATAGAATATAATTATTTGAATTCTATTAACTATCCCGTTTTTAGCATTGCCCCTGAAACTAAGAAATAAATGTTTATGAGGTCAAAGTAATTAAATTTATCAGTACAATACATTTTTCATTATTAAAGAAAAACATATCCTATATCGTTACTTATTAACTTCCTCTGAGCATGATCTTTGTTCCATGAGAACACAACTGTTACTGCATTTGTCATTTCTTGCTAGACATTTTGAAGAGCTTATGCATCACTTTTTGTTTGAGGAGATCAGTCTCACTGCAGTTTCCCGATGGCATCAGATGCTGTTATTCCTCTGTCGTTTGCAAGAATAGCCTCCCTGAAGCAATATATATTTCAAGACAAAGCTGCACATCTTCACAAATAGGAACGACCCTTCTGATTCTAGGCTCTAGAGTTCTGAGATTGTAAAGGTCTAGAAGCTTTCTTTCAAATACGGATTTTTCTGTAAGCAGGATAAATACATAATTGAATCTGATTTGACAAAACCTAGCAAAGTAAATCTAAGTGTCCTTGGCAATTGCCTTCTGGCCTTCAAGAATTAGAATTAACCATGGTACGCTTCTGTGTTATCAATACAGTGTGACCACTGATAAAGATCCACCACAACTGTTCGCAACTCCAAACATATTTGGCAATATTGAAGAAAATACTATCTATCCTATCTAGGTTATTCTAAAGTTTTGTACCTAAATCATTCACTATATGATCTTGTATTTATCAATTTAAAAAAACATCTTTCTCAACCGTACAATGTTTTCTTAAATCCTAAACAACTTAAGCCTAATTAGGAAACTATAACTATTTAGTCTTCAACTGCATCAGAGACTTGAAAAGCAATAAAATTTAGGAAGTGCAGGCAAGCAGCTCCCAAAACTAAGAGATGATATAGACAGTTTATGGCCTGGTCAGTCACCCATGAGCCATGTCTTGAGGCCATCATCTTTACCATTCAAACTTTGTCTTTGAGTGCTCATACTCCGTAGACTTTGCGTCTTCAAACAGTATTATTGTAAGAGTAGAAATCCTCTCTCTGCTTTCTTTGCTTTGATACACTGATGGACAAATCTTGGAAACCTTGTGATAGTATTATGAATGACATTTCTAAAAGTCTCTTTTACTTTTTCATACTTCTATAGAAATCAAAAACAAACATCAAAAATCATTCATAATGAAATAAATCTGTGGAATAACAGTGTTGACTCTTTGGAGGTCATTTTGACAAAGTAGACAAAGGACTCTTCTGCGCAGAAATGTTTGCAGAACATTTCTAGGGACATCTGCTGTGGAGTCCACGGTAGTGTAGGTGTCCACCAGCTGGCATGGCTCCGGAGAACTTTGTGCATCTGGGAGACTGTTACACCTCTCCAAGCATATGCAGATTGGTTATGTTCAACCAGACTGGTGCAACATGACCAGTATTGTCATTGTCACAGGGGACAATGAGGCATCACCTTTCTTGGTGATGGTGCAATCGATATCATTTTATTTAACCAAAGGGGCCGTACAGTAATTTCTGGAGGTGAAACAGCAGGATCTTCCCAGATATTCAATGCAATCGGCATTTGATTTGAAACTTTGAAAAGTATGTGTTTATGAAATATTTTCAAACATGAAAAATTCTCTATTTGTGAAAGAAATTTTGAAAAGTTAGGACATACTTTGAATAAATATTTTCTCATCATAGTTTTAGATTAAAACTAAGATTGTTGGGGGAAGTTATATAAAATATCTTGTTATTAATAAGATACATATAACATATAGTATAACCACAGCTCCTTTTTGAAAGAATTCCCAAAGAGAATGGATTTTGGTTAATTTGTAAAAATTATTTTAATTATACATTATGCTTTAAGCTCTAATTCTAAGATTTCAAAGTGAAACATTTTATGTTTTGTTCTTTCTGTATCTTGATGACCGCTGACCACACCACCACAGGGTTATATGAACATGGATATTCCTTAAAATAATGATTAAGGTAGCCCTGCTTGACACCTAAGATGATGCAGTCAGTTGTTTTCCCATGATCTAAGCCATGCCTGTGCTTGCCTCAGGTTTTGAAAATAAAGTATAAAATATTCAGTGTGAATGCCCATCAAAGTTTAGTAGTAAAATGTGAACTGCTCTTCTTGTTTCTGCAAGTGACTGTAATTTAAGCACATTTTGATATGTATTTCTGGAAATTTTTGTTTATGTAGCCATTCATAATTTAGGGAATAAGTCACATAAAAATGATTCCCCTTCACCAAATGAAAGATAGCTGGTATTTTCATGTAAATGCATATTTTACTTTATGTTATGTAGGTTTGTTGAAATCCAGAGTAAATTGTTTTGATAATGATCTCCCTTTTAAAGGAACATTCCCAAGTTACTGAAGCTGTGAGCTCCTGCCAAGGTGTCACATGGACCAACGAGAGTTGCTATGTTTCACTGCTTAAAAAAATCTGAAAGCCAATGCCCAATTCCTCTGAGAGAATATGTTTTGCTTATGTTTTCAAGGTCTTTTCTTTCCTTCTAGCCTGTGAACTTCTTATGGACACGGATGTTTCTAGACTCACTTTCATGTCCAGCATAGGGCCAGGCATAGACTAGTTTCCTCATGGAAATGAATGAATGGATCTAAATTGTTTAGAGTCCCATGATATTCTATGATATGGCCTGAGGCATAGTAGGATAATTCTCTGTCTAGTACCAAACAGTAAGGCAGAAAATACCTTGGAGTCTTTCCCCTACTCAAAATTGATATTCTGACTTGAAGGGTCCATTGTAGTTTTCTCAGTCAACCATTCTATGCAAATGCTGAGACATGCAGCAGGTAAGCTTCATGGTACCTGTCGATTATTTATATTTTCTTTATAAAGTCAGAAAGGCTCTATTTAGGCTTCCTGAAAGTATTGACAATCATTTTAATTACTGAAGGTGCTACTTATTTTCCAACATTGACCTTGATAATGAATGTTCCTCTCTGCTGAATTTTATGTGTTCTTTTTTTAGGGGTGGGGAGTGGTGCAATAAAATTAGATTACCTTTTTTCTGAATTATGTAACTTGAGAAAGTCTCTTTTACTCTATTGTTACTGTATCTTAATTATTACTGCTCATGAATTTAATTGTAGGTCTGTGCTGTTTATTAGGAAGTACATGCACATATATTTCTATAGTATGTAAGGCAAACGTGTGTTGCTTATTAATCTAAAATTTATGTTCTTGTTGAATCTTGGAAATGAAATCTGGAACTGTTTTTTCTTAATCATTAAGTGCTATGCTGTTCTATGCTGATAGAAACCTAATGTCCAACTCCAGCCCACATGTAAGGGCCCATTTTGTCTGGGTGTATATAAATAATAACAATGGAAAGATTAATGTCAACACGAAAATAATACAACCAACTCCTAATGGCTAAAAAAGAATTTGTAGTCTGTTTTTCATCCGACTTGCTTGAATGGGTTCACACAGAGTGAACACGTGTTTCAAAAGGATTATTATTGACTGAGCCATAAAAGCTCTTTTCGTTTCCCTTGATTATATAACTGTCTTTATATTTTGAACACTTTTATAATAGTAGCAAAACTAAGAGAAAAAGAGCAAGATGGTCCACATGCTGCTGACCTATACCCTTTCGAAGCCTCACTTGGCATCATCCCCCAAGAGAATGGCACCAATGTGGGAAACTGCACTAACATTCTTACCTGATAGCTCATGGGTAACAGCTACCCTCAGTGTTAAACATTCTCAAGTGTTGAACAAGATACCATACTGTTTCATGACTTTTTGTGGGAGAGATGAACAAGCATCTCTTTGCCTTAGATACAACACCAGAAACAAATGATTCAGCCTGAGTCTAGCTAGATATATTAAAGAGGGGAGCCTGGGTACTTGGTGGGAGCATTGGTAAAAAGTTTCTTACAGTAGTATGGTAATTAAAGAGCAGGCCAATCAGTTCATGTCAGAGACAGTCCCTGTTCCTGTTACAATGGAACCCACTTGGAGACTGAACTGCCATGGGCTACATCTGTGCATGGGTCTTAGGTTATCTCCATGCATGGCCCTTGGTTGGAGTATCAGTCTCAGGAAAGACCCCTGTGCTCAGATTTTTGGTTCTGTTGCTCTCCTTGTGGAGTTCCTGTCCTCTCCAGATTTTAGTGTTTCCCACTTCTTTTCTAAGATTCCCTGCACTCTGCCCAAAGGTTGCCCATAAGTCTCATCATCTGCATTGATAGTCTGCAGAGCAGAGCCTTTCCAAGGTCCTCTGTGTCAGGCTCCTCACTTGTTCCCTCTTTTCTCCTTCTTCTAGATGTCCATCCTTTTTGCCTCTCTGGATAGGAATTGAGCATTTTAGCAAGAGTCTTCCCTCTTGATTAGTTTCTTTAGGTGTACAGATTTTAGTAGGTTTATCCTATATTATATGTCTATATGAGTAAGTATATAGACTTACTCATATAGACATCTTTCTGCTTCTGGGATAGCTCGCTCAGGATGATCTTTTCTAGATCCCACCATTTACCTGTAAATTTCATGATTTCCTTGTTTTTTATTGCTGAGTAATATTCCATTGTATAGATATACCACAATTTGTGCATCCATTCCTGCTGGAAAGGTTGTGGAGAAAGGTGAACCCTCCTCCACTGCTGGTGGGAATGTTAACTTATACAACCACTCTGGAAAGCAATCAGACAACTAGAAATAGCGCTTCCTCGAGATCCAGCTATACCACTTCTAGGCATATACCCAAAAGGGTCCCAAGTACACAATAAGGACATTTGCTCAACCATTTTTGTAGCAGCCGTATTTGTAATAGCCAGAAGCTGGAAACAGCCCTGATGCCCCTCAGTGGAGGAATGGATGCTCTAGGTGTTTTTACTTGTTTGTTTTTGCTATTTCATTTCATTGTAAGAGTTGTGGGGTTTTGGTTTGGTTTGATTTGCTTTAGTTTGTTTTGGGGAATAAGATTGTTTTGTGTTTTGTTTTGAAACATTTTACCCTCTTTTGTTTGTTTTGGTAGCTAAGTATGAATCATAGGTAAAAGAAATGGTAAATGCCACTGTACTCAAGGTATGGGAACTATTGTATAGCCCTCTTATTAAAGTCCCGGTGTTTTAAGGAGCTTGCACTTTGGAGTTATAAACATTGTACCTTGTGTCTCATCCACATCACTCCTTTAGGTGGGACAAGATGTCAGTGAGTCTCGATGGGGTATTCTCCATTTCCCTGGATCATTTAGACTGGGCAAAACCCAGCAGTCTACAATTTCTCCAGCAAGGTTCTGTGGGCAAACCTTGTTACAATCAGAATATTGACATATTTTAAAACGAAGTCTCTCCTCCCAGTGCTAGCATCTTGAGAATTTTTCCTGACATTTTGCTCCAACAGAGCTCCTGGAGGTAACTCTCACTGTGTGGTGGAATAACTGGGATTTCTGGGATTATTAATCTTTCAGGTAACCCTGAATACGACCATAATGGTTGATGCATTGCAATTCGGATCTTCCCACCCAGTCCCTGGCTGCTGCAGTGGCTGTAACTGGTGCAGCCTCCATCCTGATACAGTGGTTCTCTAATCTGCTTTTACCTCCCCACCCCCCCACCCCCGTTTGGTACAGCAGCAGTTGGTTCTTGACCTCTCTTCCTTTGGATCTAAGAAGATTCTCATCTTTTTCCGTTTACATAGTGACACAAAGTGAGACTTGAAGCTGCTGTCTGTTTGGAAATCCACCCTCACTTTAACATCTGCATGAACTTTAAATCGGCTCTCACCTTGTAATCTTCTTTAATTTAGGGATCTTATCTAATGTTTTTACTGTTGTGAACTTTTAGCATACTGATCTTGTTAAGGTAGTGATTTAAACTAGATTTTGAGACAGTAGGAAGTGGCTCTCGGAGTTATCATGAAGGTTATTGACCATGATAATCAAGACTTTTGTAATTACATGCAAAATTCTTATTAATGAGTCATTAATTTTCAGGTGGTGCCAGTCTCACTTATTAACCATACTATCTTGATGAGTTCTTATCCTGAGTGATGGTAATTAGTAATAACCAATTATTAGGCATAAATTATCTTATAATTGTACTTGGAGAATAATCTGTAGGAAAATATTTGCATAAAAAGGAGCTTGGTCAGATAGAATACAAGGGATTATTTCAATCTTTTTGTATCTGTTGAGGCTTGCTTTTCTATTGAGCGCATTTGAAAAACTCTAACTAGCAGTGTTTTCAAAGCAAAGACTCATGACCAAACCTTTGGCAGAGTACAGGGAATCATAAGAAAGAAGGGGAGTTAGTCTGATGAGGAAAGGATAGGAG